GCTACACCCCCGAGATAGGCGACCTTGTCGTCGGACGCATCACAGAGGTACAAGCCAAGCGGTGGCGCGTCGACGTGGCCGCGAGCCAGCTCGCCATCCTGCAGATCAGCGCCATCAACCTCCCCGGCGGCATCCTCCGCAAGCGCACCGAGACAGACGAGCTCCAGATCCGCTCCTTCTTCTCCGAGGGCGACCTCGTCGTCGCCGAGGTCCAGCAGCTGCACCAGGACGGCGCCGCGTCGCTGCACACCCGCTCCCTCAAGTACGGCAAGCTGCGCAACGGCGTCTTTGTGAGCGTCTCGGGCACCGGCGGCGGCGGCGGCGTCGTCAGGTCGAAGCGCCAGGTGTGGACCATGGAGGGCGCCAATGCCGCGGGCAAGATTGACGTGCTGCTTGGCGTGAACGGGTATATCTGGATCAGCAAGCACGTTGACAGCGAGGTTGCCGCCGAGGCAGCGGGGATTAATCGCATGGAGGAGAGCGTGAGCAGCAGGGTGTACTCCAGTCAGAATGATGACATAGACGTGGCCACCATGAGGGAGATTGCGAGGGTGAGGAGTGTGATTCTGGCGCTGGTTGAGAATGGCGTGCGAGTGGATGAGGATATGGTTGGGAGGGGGTATATGGAGGCTGTAGAGATGGCGAGGGAGGATGAAAGTGATGATTTATATCTGGGAGGCGACAAGGGGGCTCGGCTGGCTGCCATTTTGGCCGGTCGTTGATAGGACTGCATCGATTGTCACAAGTCACTGCTATATTCTCATCGTTATGGTTGACAAGTGCAGAAGCCGCCGCTGGCTGCAAGTCTTGTGTTTCCCTCCTTCCATGACGATGTGGACGACTCATAGACTGCAGTTTTTAGATGGGCAGGATAAAGCTAATGAAAGGGTTCGGCTTCACGGCCATGCGGGAAAAAAAAAAGTAGTTATTTGGGTCTTTTCAAACCAGGTGGTGATCCTACATAACGTACAAATTCTGCAGATGTTGGGTACAAAAAGAAAACAGACTTGGACTGTGAAGCTGTCATATGTGTCACAAAGATGTATATGCCTCCCTATCGCTCATAAATCACATCAGCCTGCCGAGTTTCCCCCTCTTCGAATTACATCTCGACACATATCCCTCTTTCATTTAATGTCACAAAAATGGGTATCGGTACAGCACGTATTGTTCGTAGAATGACATTGCTTTACAATTCTCAGTCGTCTTGCTCGGGCGATGGTTTTGCGCCATTTACAGGCCTAGCGAATTTCTCTTCAGCCGAAGGAACATGGCAATCAGGGCAAGGATAATCCCCCACCTTACTGCTGCACCGGACGTGCTCTTCCCGCCGAGGCCGAACACGAAACTGAGCCAGTACTTGAGGCCCTGGTTGACGTTGCCGTCACGGTCGAAATTGGGCTTTTGTCCATTCATCATGCGGTAACGGCTTAATTCGTCCCATGAGTACGGCATATAGCGTACGCGGAGGAGCTTCTCTGCCCATTTCGGGACTTGGGTGATGATGCGCTGGTGGCTGAAGGCTTTGAAGGAGTAATAACCGTGGTAACTACCTTGGCCGGAGGAGCCAATGCCGCCGAGGGGGGTGGCGTTGATCATGGCGTGGAAAAAGGCATCGTTGACGGTGGCACCTCCTGACGTGACGTTGTTCAGGACTGTAACCGTGCATTAGTTTGTTTAATTTTGACAAAATTCTTTTTTTTTTTTTCTTGGGAAGAGTGCGTTTTCTGTCATGATAAGTGTGCGCAAAGTTGAGCCCTTAACATACCTTTGTTATTTTCCTCATCGGAACCAAATGTGAAAAGGGCCAACGGCGTGGGGTCAACCTTGTTGGCAATGTCAATGGCCTCGTCGAGATTATCAAAGGGCATGATGGACCAAATGGGACCAAAACTCTCCTCAGCCATCATGGTGTCCTCAACGTCGTCGACGAGGACGGCCGTCGGCTCAATCCACAGCCTCTCTTCGTCAGACCCCCCTCCCATTACAATCTTGCCCTTGGAGTTGTTCAGCATCCTCATAAGACGATCGAAATGGCCCTTGTTGACAATACGCGACAAATCACTGTCTTTGGCGCCCTTGGGCATGAATATACGGTACTGCTTGTTTACTTCGGCGATGAACTCATTCAAGACGGGACGCTCAATGAGAACATAGTTGTGCGACAGGCACACCTGGCCAGCGTTGAGGCACTTTTGCCAGAGAAGGCGCCTGGCGGCGAGCTTGACATCGCCGTTCTTGGTAATGAAGGCTGGGTTTTGGCCACCAAGTTCGAGAAGAACGGGCGTGAGAGACTGGGCAGCCTTGGTTGCGATGATGGCCCCAGTCTTCTTGCCACCGGTGAAGACAATCTTGTCAAACTTATGCTCCATAACATGCTTAGTCTCCTCCAAGGCACCGTTGACACATACATAGCAATCTGGGTCGAGGTACTCGTCAAAGATCTTCTTGAGAATCATGGCAGAGTGAGGCGACAGCTCAGAGGGCTTGAGTATGACACAGTTGCCAGCGGCAATGGCGCCAATGACGGGAGTGAGATTCAGCTGAAAGGGGAAGTTGTAAGCACCAATGATGAGCACCTGGCCCAATGGCTCGTTTCTTATGCGCGGGCGCATTGGCCAGTATGTCATGGGCAGGTCGACAACGTATTCGTCCTTGGCCCAGGTCTCGAGCTTGTTGGCGACATTGATGGCCTCGTTCTTGACCCAGTCAATCTCGGTGACGTGAGCCTCAAACTTGCATTTTCCCATGTCCTTCATGACAGCCTCCTCGATGAGTTGCTCATAGTCAGAGACAGCCCAATAGAGCTTGCGGATCTGCTGCAAACGAAAGTTCATGTCCTTGGTCTTGTTGGTGCGAAAGGTCTTGCGCAGACGCTCGACGTGGGCAGTGATGTCGTCAAGGGCCGCGGGCTCAAAGGCCGGGATGGGGCCAGCCTTGACGTGAGCCATGATGAAGGATGCCCGACCAACTGTCTTTGGCGACGATGGTGCAAAACGGCGAAATGGCAAAAAGACGGTCGGAGCTTGTACAAGCTCTTGGTCAAAGGGAGCTAGCTATAGGAAGCTACCTAAGGTGCTTGGTTCTCCGTACTCGTACTAAGTAGGCTAGGAGCTCGGTTCCGGTAGGAGCACTTAGACCTTGGCGGGCGGAAGAAACTGCCCAATGCGTACTAAGGGACGGAGTGCTCGGGAATAGTCGACCAAGTCGGACAGACAGGGATGAGGACCGATGAAGTGCAGAGGTGGATGCGGAATGGAAGAAGGGGAGCGGGAGATCGGAAATGGGAAACGGGAGGTTTAAAAGGGTCTGGTTTAAAACCAGGTCAAGCAGGAGCAGCAGATAGAGATGCGGGTTGCTAATTTGCAGGGACCTCCAGGGCTATTGGGACGAGACATGGACCAGACGAAGTACCAGCCTCAGTGCTTTGATCAGTGAGCAACGCCAAGTACCCTTGGTTAAGGGTTGACCGGAACGTGCAACCTGGCGGGAAGTCGCACGAGCACCAGGATGCCTTAATAGTTAGTTGTGCATCCCCGACAAGTGGCTGGGATCGACATCAACCACCATCGGGTCTTAAACGCCTCGACGTGCCGCCGACAAACACTAGTAGGAGTGAATGGTTGCCAGCCATGCCTCCTCGGCAGACCCCCGAATGCTCCTTGCCTTCTCACTCTTCCGTCCAAGAGTACATACTCTGCTCTCATGGCTTGCAGATCCGTCATCAATCAAGGGCTCGGTACTCCGTACGGAGTAGGTTAGTAGGCCGACACACGGAGCCACGGCCCTAATTTCCACTACGTACCGTCAGTGGCCTCCAAGCTCGCCACGCGACCTCGACAAGCTTAAGCTGTGCGGTCTGTGTCGCCCCACGTTTCGCTAACGCTGAATCCAGGACTGCCCGCAACGTAAAAGG